ATCTGCGAAAGCAGGGGTGACTCAAAACCGCCCACTGTTTTCAAACGAAGGCCTGGGAATTATCTAGAAATCCGTGCCTTTCAGCAGATAGTATGAGAGATCAATGAAATCAACAACTAGTGATTCGCTGTGCTATGTTTGTTGGACTTGCGTGTCACCTGTTGCAAGCGTGCGAAGGTATAGGCTCTCAACCCTCCCTCGGGATTCTCTCACATTCCTGATGTGGTTTTGAGGGCAGCCAATTGGAGATCTGTGTAGGTCATTTTGGGGAATGTCAGATCTGCTCTTCTAATAGCAAAAATCCTTTCTTTTTTTGTGTGCTTTTACAGCGTTATCCTTAGTGATACCGCAAATTTGTACCTGTTCAGTGCTGGTTTTGAGGATAACCGACATTTTGATAATTTTGCAGACCCCAAACTGATTCTACTTTCGTTTTTATATATATATATATATATATGTTCTCGCAAAAAAAAAAAAAAGGACTATTCTGAAGCGGGAAGTCAATGCAGCCTTGAACAGACTAAGGGTGGATTCTGAAATCGCCCGAGATGGAAGAATGTTTCGATTGAACTATGCAATTCGACATTTTACTGTAATTTGATAATGTCGAAAAGTTCGCCTTTGAACACGGCGGTGGCAGGCAGCCCCATAACATGCCCCCTGCTGGTCGCTGAGGACCTCGGATGCGGGCGCGGCGAGTGACAGGCGCCGTCGCCCTTGGCTTCAGCGAGCAGTGGGCGCCCCTCCCCGGGTTTCCTCACAACTTTGGCGCCGTTGCCGGGGAGGGGACTGGACCCCCAAGGCCACGGCCTTCCACAATCAACGGGGGTGCGAAAGCGAAACTAATTAGCTTTTGAAAAGTTGATTAGTTGATTTTTTTAATTTTTTCTTTAATTTTGTATTTTGTTTTTTTTTTCCATTATCTCCCGATCCGCACGTTTTTGCGTGAGGCGCACCGGGAGCAAAGTTCGACCTCTCGTCGAGGAGAACGTTTTGAGATATTTTTTGAAAACTTTTAATGGCTAGAAAAGGAGATATGAATTTTTTTAAATTTTTCTAATTAAAATTCCGAAAATCATGAATTTCCTTTTATTTTAATTACGAAGAAAAGAAGCGAAATTAGGTGAACCCCGCTGGGACAAAAGTTGGTCCTTGTATTTTTCCCGACATTTTGAGACCTTAATCGGGGAAAACGGACTCCGTTTGGACGAGTGGTGGCCGCCAACAGACAGGAAAAGAGGGGAAAATTAAGAGGAATTAGTGATTTGTTTTGTATTTTTATAAAAATAAAAGGGAAACAGAAGTCGACAAAAGTGATCCGTTGGAACCCGGCCTTTAACTGACTACAAACCGACGGGAAATTTTCTGCCTCGAGAAGTCGGACGAGGTGGTGTGCGGTCGCGCGCAAAACCTAAAAACCCTAATTGGGGAAAACCCTAATTAGGGTAAGCCCTAACCCTAAGTTAGGGAAAGGCGGTGCGTAGCCGAGCGGATACAAGTCTTTGTATCCGACCGGTGATGGGAAAATTTTGTATAAATCCAGTTGACCAAATTGAAATTAATCAATATTGRGAATTTTGTTTTATTAAATAATTTAAGTTGTAAATTTGTTTTAAGTAATAATTTGTCATTTAAAATCAATTAAAAATAAAAATAAATATCGTAAATTCTTCAAGAAAGGGGAGTCGGCTTTATTTCGACTTTGTGATTCGGGAGATACTTCCCTTAACCCCATCCCAACGGGGGGAAGCAAAGTGCTGCCGAAATTTCTCGGCAATTTGCTGAATTTTATTCAATTAAATCTTAAATAATTAAAGAAAATACTTAAAAATTAGCAAAAAAAATTGAGATATTTTTTCAGTTCTTAATCTTTCTTGTTAAACATCTTCCGTCGGCATTTTGAGGTCTTCGGCCAAACCCTATCCCAACGGGGGGGAGCCAAAGTGCTGCCGAAACTTTGCAAAATTTCATAATTTAAATTATTAATTCTTTTTTTTTATATATATATATATAAATATATTGAAAGCGATTAGGGAAATTAATTAAAAATACGTTAGAAATTTGTTTCTTTCAACAACTTTCCTCTTGTTTCATTTGGCTTTAGTTCTGGGTAGGTAGCATTTGTCTAGGGATAATAGTCCCGAACCCCATCCCAAGGGGGGGAGGCGGAACGCTGCCGAAATTTTAGTAAATTCCCCAAATTTTATTTGTACCCCTAAAAAGCATCAAACTCGGCGGGCTTATATATGTATTGATCCTTAATATATATAAACTAAGAAAGGAATTTTATCTTAACCAAATACATTTTCTTTAATTTATAATTGAAAAATACAAAAGAATTCCGTAGAAGGAGAAGGGAAAGAGACGTTGCGGTGACCTGGCTTCAAGTGAACCTACTAACTTGTTCCCGAAGGCGCGAGGCAAGTGACGGAAATTTTCAGTTATTAATCTACACCTCCCTCTTGTTGCGTTCTCTCTAGCCGCCAGTTGAATGTGGCCGCGGGTGCAAGTAGAGGTCTATGGGGCTACCATTGACTGAGACTTAGAACCCCCTGAACTCATAGAGGGGGATCTGGTCGAGCTCACAATCCCCGGACGCAGCATTCGACACTTTGACGGTCAGTTTACATGAAGGTCTATAATCTTGTCTGAGGACGTGTGGCTTTGGACGTACAGAGAGCACCGGCCAGGGCAAGGAGTGGGCGTAGTGAGAGCCTACTTGTATTTAGGACCGGGTGCGGTCAGGGAGGCCGTGGTGGGCCTCGCGACGACAGGGACTAGTGGCACAGTTAGCAGGGCGTTACGCTCCTAGGGGAAGAGATAGCTGCCTTCTGAGCGGAGGACTCGAGCGATCCGTTGACCCTATTTCACGGACGCCCTCCTCTTGATATCACGGGCGAGCTGGTGGTAGCACGGGACGAGTTTTTCCCGTACAGCGTTAGGTGTCTGCGGGCGATAGTTCCGACGTTCGTAGTAGAGAGCGTCTTTGGAGGTATTGGTGGAGTGGTCAAGACATACCTGGCCTATCAGGATCTCAAGATCCTGGCGAGAAGGCCTGCCGACCTAGGCTACATCTATTATTCGCTTGCGACCGGTGGGCCTCGTTGGGGAGACGAGAGGGTTCAGCGTATAGAGCTGATCCGCTCGATAAACGACGAGTGGCCCCAGTTTTCGTGCGTTTGGGATTGGCTAGACCGTGAGCTCCGAGCAGGCCCCGAGGACGTGACGTGCATCGGGCGACTCTTCTCAGACGACTGGGAGAGCTGGTGGGGTGAGGACGCCGGGCGACCTCTGATATATGGCCATCAGTTGGCGCAATACTACCAGGGTATAGGACAGGCGCCATATCACGTCGAGGACGAGTTTGACGACGAAGGTTGGGAGCGAGAGGACGACGAGGACGCCTGGGAGCCAGACTGGGTTGACCCAGAGAGTGAGGTTGACGAGGAGGAGATTGACGCTACAGACGCCCATTTTCCCAGGATAGGAGTAGCAGTCCGGACGTAGGAGGTAGAGGAGCACATTTGAGTGACGATTGAGTGGGCTTAGCTACTGATCCTACTCGACCATACTGGATCTGAGTGCGAGAGATGTCTGGAGGGCTAGCAATGTCGAGAGATGGGGTGCATCGGAGGGAGTAGAGTGATGCTGACCGGGAGTAGGAGAAGAGATGAGGAGTGATTCAGTGGCCTGGTTAGCTTATGTTCTTTCACGAGAGTCCGAATCGTGTAGTGTGAGGAAGCTTGTGGGACCCAGAGAGACAGCTGTTGGATACGACATACCACTTCCTGTGGCGTTAGAAGGGGCAGGGCGTGTACCGATACGATACTTGGGAACGTGGCTCGCAGAGGGGCTCTTTCTTTGGACAGTGATACTACGAGACGAACGACCCGAGAGGACTCATGATCTAGAAGGGGTCGGACATTTGACAGCGGAAAGAGCGCACGATTTAGAGATAGGACTGACGCTCGCAGGGGCGAGCAGGAGTTGGTGGAGAACCGAGTTGTTGGTCAGAGTGATCGTTAATCAGCAATTGGCGAGACTCTCTGGAGGGAGGACGAGTTGGAGTTGCTTGGTATACGGTCCACCACATCCGACCCTCTACCCGAGAGAGGATTGGCGATTCGGACTTCCTACCTTCGTGATAGGGCAGACCTATGGGAACGTGGATCGTTTGAGTAGAGCAGTGGACCACACACTTTACGCGCTCTGGGAGGGCTTAGCGCCCCACTTCAAGGAAGTATACTACGCCATTTGTGCGAGGTGGGGGCCGCCCAGTAGAGAGACGCTCGACGACATCATAGACGTTACTAACTGGGTGGACTGTCTGAGGCCAATCGATCTGATTAGGTATTGCAGGAGACGGGCAGAGATTGATTACGCAGGGCTAGAGGATGTGAGATTTCTCTTCGAGGCCGCAGCCTAGGGAATGCCGGGAAGGACGGCCATGGTGACGCGTGTAGAAGAGCAACTGGTAAGCATAGGATACACTGTGACAGTACTTCTCCGAGCGTACGTAGAAGAGGACTTGACAGCGACTGAGTGCAGACAACGAGCTAGGGATTTGATCCACGAGCGTAGAGCTGATGTACTAGTGCGAGTGACCTTCCAGACCTTGATTTCCTATGATGTGATGATATGGTCTCATGGTTATATGCGCGCGGAGCACTACCACGATGAGACGGTAGCGGAGGCAAGAGCGATGGTGAGAGGGTGAGCTGGAGAAAGATGTGGACTTAGTATGGAAGAGGAGAGTGAGGCAGTCTGAAGAGTGAGAAAGCGCGTTAAAGAACCACTCTTGAACCAGTTAAAGAAGTTGGGGGACAAGTTAAGGGATATCTGGTCGTGTCAGGACGAGGGCAAGTTGCGTAGGGCTGAACTCGTGACGAGAGAGTTAGAGAATCTGTTTAGGGAGGAAAGAGAGATTATCCAGGCGTGGAGATCAGACTTTCTGGAGAGGGTAAAGGCTAGAAGCGTATCACGCGAAGAAACTAGTGAGCGATCTGCAGAGAGCGAGACAACGGAAGACAAAGTAACACAGGGAAGTAGCGACAGGACATGAGCGGGACGACATTACACACGACGGATCGGTACTCATTGCATGTGGTAGGGAGATTGGACGGACCATTGGTGTTAGTGATCGTAGAGCTCCAACTCCATACCAGACTATGCATAGTTGAGGAGGCAGAGTGTGTCCGCCGTGCCCTGCGTGAAGCAAAGGGGACAGGACTTTGGATTGGAATAGAAGGAGGACGAAGGATAAAATACGTACTTCGAGTAACACCCTTTGAAGGGCGGTCGCGGATAAGAGCATGGTACGAGACGATCAGAGAGGCTGAGAGGTTGAAGATAAGCGAAGCCAGGAAAGCTGGAGAGTTAGAAAGAGTTGTAACAGACGGTGCCATACTCAGGGTGCTAGCTGCTCACAGTCGGTACTGGAAGAAGTCGATAAAGACTTTAGAGGCCATAGAAGATGGTGGAGATGAGGAGGACTTTGAGACATTTTATGACATATTGGAGCGGTCGGCGATGAGGTTACAAGTGGTTATAGCACTAACTTACCTCAGCTGCTAGACAGATGACTTCGTAGCCGACTGGGAGATAAGGGAGTAGAAATAGAAATTGGAAGCTCTTGGGAGGATAGTGGAAGCTAGGAAGGTCGATGGGCGACTTTGGATGGCAGTAGGAGGGCCTTTAGCGGGCTAACCAATTCAGGACAGGGCTAGGAGAACTAGCAAGAAGGACGGAGATAGACACTCGGGGACACTTGAGGAGTGTTGATCAGGAGACATTGGTTAGGTTTGGGACACGGGATACTCGAAGTGGTAATCAAGGCAGTCGAGAGCTAAGATCGGAGGCGGGCGCAAGCCGTGACAAGGAAACAGGTTCGGGCTGCCGCAACTGTTACAGGTCCGGGCTGCAGAGACTGTCATAGGGTCGGTGTGTAACAATAGGCAAGAATACCTAACTGCATCTCCTGGCGGTCCAATGGAAACCGACACGATGGAACCACAACCGACCACGGGAGAGGAGTACAGGACATCGCCCGATCGAGCTCTGAGGGATCTGAAGGAACGAATTAGGCGAGAAGCACCGCTGAGATGTGCTGACCAAACCAATGACGGAGGGCCCGACGTAAGGGGCGAACCAGTTGCGACAGAGCCGCAGGAGGCTCTAAAGACGGGTACCTCGAGCGGACGACGAGAAGCGACGAGGCGACGCTCCCCCGAGTATGAGTGGAGGGACACCATAGCGGACATGCACAGAGACGACTGGAGAGAGAGTTTGAGGGATTCCTATTGGAGGGACAAAGATAGAGACAGGGCGCTGCCCAGGCGAGTCTTCGACCCCCAGACAGGGGAGTCACATCCGCTCCTTTACGAGGGCAAGGATCGCTAAATTATTACGCACAAGGCCTCAGAGCCTTCTACCTTCAGGGGCTATGGTATCACATAATATCTGGAGAAGTGGGAGCTTCACGCCAGCCGGAATCAGTGGTCGGAGGAGGAGATTATAGAGAACTTCCTATTTAATGTGGACCCAAGTCTTGGTAGGGAAGTTAAGAAAACTCGACTGAAGGATGGGAAATGGACTACGTACAAGAAGAACCTCGTTGAGCTTTATAAATTGGAGGATAACAAGTATTCCATCAAGGACCTTGAAACAATGACTCAAGATGAAGATGAGAGCGTACGGGCATTTGGGATGCGTTTCCAGAAGATCTCCGACGTGCTGATGAAGAAGGGGAAGATCTCAGAGGTCGAGCGCTGTACTATCTTCATCGAACACTTGTCCAAAGGTAGGCAAAAGAGTATACTTAGAGATCTTCCGCGCGACAGGCTTGATTTCCCAGAAG